CTTTTGAAAGAGACAGAGAGAGAAACAGAGCATGAGCAGTAGAGGGGCAGAGAGAAGGAGCCACAGAATCTGAAGCAGGTTCCAGGCTCTGAGCTGTTCGCACAGAGCGCGACGCAGGGCTCAAACTCATGAACTGTGAGGTGATGACCTGAGCTGAAGTCAGACACTTAATCAACTGAGCTACCCAGGTGCCCCAATGTTCTATTATTTTTTAATCTATCTGTGATTATGTTCCCTTTTTCATTGTCAGTATTTAATTATGCCTTCTCTTTTTTTCTGATTAATCTTGAAGGACATTTGTCTACTTTTCTAGTCTTCTTAAAGAGTCAACTTTTAGCTTTATTGACTTCTCATTTGGTTTCTGTAGCTCTCTAACTTCAAAAATGAATATGTAAGGAAGCTCAGTCGGTAGATGACGTGACTCCTGATCCTGGGGTTCTAAGTTCGAGCTCCACTTTGGGTATACAGATTACTTAAAAAAATAAGTAAAAATAAACGGAGTATATACATCAGCTTCCCACCTAGACTATGTGAGGCCAATCACTTCCCTACCTGCAACCTGAAATCCAACACAACTTTCCTTACTCCTCAGGCCTTGCTTAACTAACTGCTTTTGGATTTAAATTAGCTCTTCAACTTAGCAGATTTTTATAAATGCAGTGTTATTTCACAATATCCCCAAAATAAGGGCAGTTTCCTATCATCTCTCACCTTACTTAGTAACAATTTTATGCCTCTGTAAACATGATCTTCCCCACCTAAAATCTTTTCTCCTTCTTTAAAGCCAACCAAAATACCCCAAACTGGTGACGTACCTCTTTCTTCATGAAGCTTTGTGAAATTAACTATAAACTCTAGGGTAATAGCTCAGCCTGTATTCCTTTAATATTATATTTAAGTGATACTATCAAAAAATAGAGTACATACTTTATTTAACAAATTTACTAATGCGTCAGGCACTGCTATAAATAAATATGAACTGATTTTTCATAGCAGTCCAAGAAATATGTTTATCTCCATTTTCCTAGTTGGAAGTGCAGAATGATTACACACTTACACAGCTAGTAAATGACAGAGCCTGGATTCAAATCCCAGAAGTCTGGCTCCAACAAACCATGTGCCCTTAACTATGCTTCCTTAAATTGTTCTAGTAGTACTTTCTTAACACTGCCCCAAGCACAAGGTATGGTCTCTCTAACTACCATTTAAACTCTTTAAGGGGATGTGTGTTCTTTTTTTTATATCCTTCAACAACTTTCTGCACAGACTTTAAGTGTTTAGCAGGTTATTAGCTAATGCTTACTGAACTGAAACATAAGACGACAATTACTCAAGTCCAGCTTACACAATGAAAATAATTTTTAGGAAAATTAAGTTGCACTAAAGTGCTCCAGCCTTGCTTGGAAAAAAAAATATTATGAATAACTTATATAAAGTTAGCTTTGGAGTGAGCTAAGACATATACTGTGCATATATACACACAAATCCATAAAATATAGCTGTGGTCCAACACTGTTTCTGTAAAATTTCACTGTAAACTATGTTTACCTTTTTAAGATCACAGGTATAGAAACTAAACATTTAAGCGATAAATTAAAAAATTAAAAATTATTTACAGACCTAAAAACTTCTAAAATAGAATTTCTTCAATTTTCTTAGAGTTCAAATATTCTAATACATGAATCTAAAAACTAAAGCAATGTTATATGAAAGTACAAGGAAATTCTAAAATAGCTCTAAAGATTAAAATAGCTCAAACTACCGTAAGTTAAGTCAACTGAAAGCAGATTATAAATACGACCCAAAGCCAATGCACCACTTCAATAGAAGTGAGGACAAGACTGACACCAAATGAAAAGAGGTACATTATACAAAAGGCTGAATAGAAGCAAATATATGAACCATTCCAAGTGAAGAAGAGAACCTAGGCCCATGTTTCTCTGTGGAATAATAACAAAAATTAAAGACAAATTACTGTATTTAGTGATTTTAAGATGTGGTGAATGTAAATACCACCATTACTTTATGTATCTTTAAAAAAGAAACAATAAAATCCTGTATTAATTATAATATCAATTAACATTGGATATTAGATTCAGTAAAATTCTTATCTTCCTGAACTTCCTCAACTTAGGATGGGGTTATATCCTGCTCAACCCATTGTAAGTTGAAAATATGTATCATTAAATCAAAAAACCACTTAATATACCTCACACGTCTAACATCATAGCTTAGCCTATCCTACCTCAAATGCTCTCAAAACACATTAGTCTACAGTTGGGCAAAATCACATAACACAAAGACTATGCTATTAGTAAGTGATGAATATTCTGAAATGTACTGAATACTGTACTGAAAGTGAAAAACAGAATGATTTTGTGGGCAAAGAATGGCTGTTTACCCCTCATGACTGCATGGCTGAATGGAGCTGCAACTTGCTACCATTGCCCAGCATCACAAGAATATTGTACTACATCTCACTAGCCCAGGAAAAGACCAAAATTCAAAATTCTAAGTATGGTTTCTATTGAATGTGCTACTGCTTTTGCACTATCATAAAGCTGAAAAATCTTAGTTGGAACCATCCTAAGTCAAGGACCATGTGTATAATTAAGTGACTATGTAAGACAAATCATGTATGAGAAACATTTAATTCAAGGAATATTATTACTAAACTAACTGAAATCAGGTAATGTGCTAAAATTTCAGAATATAAATACAAATTTGGTATATTCCTTCCTCACAGTGCTCATAATTAAGAAATTAACACTAAAATAACTATAGTAATAATAAATATCGAGTCATTTAAGTCTTTGGAATTCAATTGTTGAACATTTTTACCCTAAAGAAATGACCTAGGGGTGCCTGGGTGGCTCAGTATGTTAAATGTCTGACTTCAGCTCAGGTTATGATCTCACAGTTCGTGGGTTTGGGCCCCACATCAGGCTCTGTGCTGACAGCTCAGAACCTGGAGCCTGCTTCAGATTCTAGGTCTCCTTCTCTCTCTGCCCCTCCCCGTGCTCACTCGCATGCTCTCTCAAAAATAAAACATTTAAAAAAGAAAATAATCGAAAAAGAACAATCTTTCATGCAAATTGGCCACTGCAATAAAAAAATGATAGCAAAATTAAAAACCTAGAAGCCTAGCCACCCAGTTTTAAAACAATTTGTTAAATGGAAAACAATGTAATAAGTAAAGGTATTAACTGAAATACTATGAAGCAATATGGAAAAATTCAACTAAGTGAAAAAAATAAAAAAGCACTTATACACTACTACTGCAACTAAATAAAAATTAGGAATAATGGGGAAATATAAAGAAAACTATTGAGAAAGATGTTGAAAACCTAAGTGTTTGCTCATAGATTGTATATTAAATAATAGTACTACACCATCATTAAATTTCCTCATTTTGGTATCTGTACTGTTACTATTTAAGAGAATGTTCTTGTTCTCACAAAATGAAGTATTTAATGGTAGAAAGAGTCCAGCATCTCCAATTTAATCTCAAAGGGCTCAAAACAATAAACCTCAATACACACACACACATCAAATAGATCAAGGAAGAAGGACAAAATGCTTCCTGAGGGTAAATCTCAGTAAAGAATATACAAAAGCTTTTATCCTTCCTGCAACTATCCTCCAAGTTGAAATTATAATAAAAAGTTACCGGGGCGCCTGGGTGGCTCAGTCGATTGAGCGTCTGACTTCAGCTCGGGTCATGATCTCACAGTCTGTGAGTTCGAGCCCCGCGTCAGGCTCTGTGCTGACAGCTCAGAGCCCGGGGCCTGTTTCAGATTCTGTGTCTTCCTCTCTCTCTAACCCTCCCCCGTTCACGCTCTGTCTCTCTCTGTCTCAAAAATAAATAAACATTAAAAAAAAAAAAAAAAATTAAAAAAAAAAAAGTTACCAAAACAACTAAGTAAACTTATGATCAAAAATAGAAAAATAACACACATATACACAAAAGCAATTTAAAATGGAAAGGCTGTAAATGCTTTATTTTTGTTAATATGCATTAAGTAGTTTTAATAACATAAGAAAAAAAGCTGAAGTCTTTTGGTGGTGATAAAATGTATAGTAAAAACTAGTGATTAATAGCTGAGTATGAAAGATCATTAGCTAGTAGCATGTGTTGTGAGTACCTGCAGTAAATATGTACTAAGATGATGGACATACATAACTGATGAAAAAATTATCAACATGGACAATGAAAGCCTGCTGAAAGACTATCTTAAAACCATAAAAAATCTGAAGAAAGTTTATGCACACTCAAGAGTCAAAGAAAAGAGTACTGGAAGTAAAGGTGCTAAGGTACCACTGTGATAAAGATCTAATTAAAATTATTAATTATAACTTTAATAGCATACATATTTAAGCTTTTAATGCTTAATACCATCAGGTAAATTAATATCTACTGAAAATGGATACTGTATTGCTATTTGGTCAGAACGTTACAATTCAAACTTCAGAAACCTTTCTGCATGTCTTTAGGCATTACACCACCATCCACAAAGAAGCTTCCTGGAACTGTAAATTCCAAAATTGCAAATAATTTCCAATATTACAAATTATTAATTATATTTTAGTATCTTTGATCCTGGTAGGTCAAATTAATTTTGCAAAACTGCTAGGTCAAGAAGGCAAAAAGATAAATGGGATACGTAAAAACAAAAAAAAGAGCGAAATCACTTTATATCTCTGTTTCTAAAAGGAAAATAAGCATATTCACCTAGAATAATTACACTGAAGAATAAGAATGCAAACTTCTACACTAAAGACACAAGTAAAAAATAATGCAATTTAAAAAGTAATGAAAATAATTCACCCTCACAAAATACTAAAAACATTAAAAAGAGCTAATTATTTACCGAATGACCTAATGCAGCCTAAGTTCTCAATAATATTCATTACCTTAAAAAATATGTATTTTAAAAGGCAAAACAAACATCTTCATAAACATTATTAGTGTTTAGTAAAGTTTTATAAGTTAAACTTACCTTTTTATCTTCTTTTACTTTGTGGGTTTTCTTCTTCATTTTCTTATCATCTAATTCCTGGTCTGAAGTGATTGCAGGATTATCAATACCACCTTTCCAAGTTTCAACAGGAGAAAGAAGTGGATCTTCTTCACTTCCACGATGTCTTCCTTTTCTTTTTGTTTTAGAAGTGGTGAAAGCCTCATCATCACTTGCATCTGAATGTGTTCTTCTATAGTACGACTTGGCTTTACTAAACAGGGTTTTAGATTTATATTTGTATTTTGAAGGCCTCCTTTCCCCATGACTTTTTGAGGTTCTATCAGAAAATCCATTTTCTTCATCTCCTTGGGTGTTATTTACAAATGAATTTCGAATTTTAATAATGCGAGTCTGACTATCATCTGGGACAACATAGATCTCATCAGAATAGCCCTTCTGTTTGAAAATTGTGTCAATGGGTTCCGCATAGTTATCTGAAGGATCCATATCTTCAGGATGTGCCAAAGGTACCCGAGAAGTCTGTTTTCTTGGATTTTTACCAATACCAGCTTCAATTGTTTTTAAGAGGTTTGGATCCAGTTTTTTCACATTTGTCTTAGGTACAACTGGTTTAGGTTTAATAGGTGGAGGCACTTTATGGTTGCGTTCATGGTCATGACAGTTTGGGGTGCTATGAATAGGATATTCATTTCCTTCTAAATCTAATCTGTATCTGGAACGGTCACTAGGTGTTGGAAGCAACTGTACATCATCCCCAATCGGACTATAAGGAGGTGGTGCTTCTGTATCATCATCTGAATCAGGGTAGTTGTTATAGGGGAAACAGTCTCTGGGAGATGGTAGAAAAACATCCTCACTTTGATGGGTTGATTCCCTTGTATTATCAGATAAATAGGAATTTTCTATCATATTTTTTTTCTCTAGAACATCACTGAAAAACAGTGTAAAGACCTCAGTTTGTCGATGATATTGAGATAAAGAATACAGTGCTGTAAACTTAGCAGTGATCTCAGTTGCAATGTGTTCTCCTTCAGTCATTAACTCCTTGATAGCCTCATTTTCAAAAAAATCTGCTTGGCTGTCAGTAACTGCCACCAGCTGTACAGGAATGGTGTCTTGAACTTCTGATAGAAATGCTCGAAGCATTCCCATTGACGCTTTCCGTTTGGCAGAATAAACTAATATATACCCATGAACTAGTTCATCTTTCCTTACCCCAATTGAAGAATGGTATGATAATATTGTGATCTGTATTCGCCTCCTTTTTTCACCAATGATTTTATCAAGCATTAGGGAATTATTCTGTCCAGCTTGAGCAGCACTACAAGAATGAGAATCAAGGAAGGGTGAAAGAATAAGATCCACACTAAAGGGATCACCACACATGGCACACATGACAATTCTCAAGTCAGCTTCTGATACATCCTTACTGGTGGGAACTGGGCTCACCACATCTAAATTATGCTTAACTGATTCTAATACTCCTCTTAGAGCTTGCTTTATTTGGGTTTCATTAAATTTACGAGGATATGTACCAGGAGGTACATCTACAAAAGGACATTGTAACTTGTTTGCCAACTGTTGCCCTTGGTGCCTGAGAATTGGTAGATTCTTACTCATGGAATCTCGCTGATTAGCCAGAATTAATGTAAATGGAAGATTTGCCATGTATTTATCTTTTCTGATCTGAGAAGCTTCAGTTCTTATTTTTCCAATAAATTCCCCAATAAAATTCAGTGACTCAATGGAATTAAATACACAGAAGCACCCATGTGGTTTAAAGGCAGCAGTCCACAATTGACTTAAGAAGTAAGGCGACTTGGCATCAACTGGCCGAAGATCAAGTTCATAAATTTTTCCATCTAAGGCATACTCATCATCAGTGGATTGTGTTCTTATCTCATTTGCTAGTTCTTGGGCAAGGCCATCCTTCCCTAAAATGAAAAGGTTAACTTTATCTATATTGGTACTATCATGATACAACCGTAAGCGGCCATGATCCAACTGCAAAAGACTACTGGCAAGTAATTGCTCTACTTTAATGTCTGTACAATTTTGGCCACTAAGACAGGTTTCTTTAGTGGGGTGATAAACAAACCCTATGTGCTTAAGTAGAAGAGATTCCCTATCAGGTGCAAGTTTCTGTAAAGCTTTATATCTAGGTTCTTCACTCAAAACTGTATGAATTTCACTCATTTTATCTGAACTAGGTGTTGCATTAAGATCTAAATCATAAAAAAGTTCAGAGTGCTCAAAAAGCATTTCCTGAAACTCTTCTTTGGCTTTTTCAACTATTTCTCGCTGATGCCTACCATACACCTCTTTGCTATCAGCCTCTGTGATGTACTTGAAGGCTTCATCCTCCATAACAAAGCACATAACTTCTTCCCACGGCTGCCCAGGTGAAATGAACTGAATTTTTTCCAAAGTCTTTTTGAATTTTTCCTTCATTTCTACCCTTCTTTTCTCTGATATTAGATGTTGTACATGGTTCTGATAGACTTTCTCAGCTTCTAAAGTGCTCAGGAGGTCAAATGGGATTCGTCTATCATTAATTTTGTCTATATGGTCAGTTTCATCCCAAGGTGTTTTTTCTAGCACCACAAAACATAACTGAAAGTCTGCTCTCTTTTCCAATAACTTCAAAGCTTCTGACCAATTCAAATGTTCAATCTCTTCTAAGTTTGGCAAAAGAGTATTAAAAGCTCTTGGTAAAGTATTTATATATTCTTCTCTCCTTTTTCTTATGTGTTCTTGTTTAAGTTGTTCTATATGTTTTGAGAATGTATTTCTGGCCTTTCTTGTTCCCTCTAAGTTGATGTATTCTTCATAATCAGGATGATTTTTTAATTTATTACTAACAGTTTTCCAAGTTGCATGATAATCTCTCACAGTCTGCACAAGTTTTTCAAACTTATCTGTTGCTGTGACAACAAGTTGTCGCTGTGTTTTATAAGCATCCAGATAGGGAATAATTTTAGGTTTGCCACGAGTTTTATCCAACATTTGTACCAGTGCAGTGAAACATGTCTCGATGTTGACATTAAATCGTGCTGATGTTTCCACTACAAGAAGGTTCTTTTTGTTTGAAGCAAATGCCTGAACTTCTCTAAGATAATGATCCACGCACTCATCACATTTAGTTGCTGCTATTATTACAGGCTTTTTTGATTTTGATAGTTGGACAAAAAGATTATTCACAAATTTAAGTTGATCATCAAACTTCCTATTGCATCCCTGACTCACATCAATGCACAGTAAAAACCCATCTACATTGAGCTTCCCTTCGGGCATTTGCTTCTGCTCAAAGTCTTGTTCCAAGCCCAGCTGATCAGTGCAAATGTACATTAGTTTTTCTGCTGACTGCAATTTAGAGGCAGCTGCACGTTTTATATATGGTTGCAAATTCGTACTCCGATGAGGCAAGAAAGTCTGGTCATCAATGAACTCTGTTTGTTCAATGACATGAATTTTGCATTCTACTCCATCTTCACCATTTTGTGTTATGTCACCCCAGTACAAAAAGTGATCATTGTTTACTACTCGTCCTCCAAAGTCAATGGTGCTAAGCACAGAAGTATGCTCTGGGTAATATTCATCTGCTTTTGAGCGTACAAATCTATTGCACAAACAAGACTTTCCAACTCCACAGTTACCTTTGTCTTTTTCAGTCCCAGAGAGTCCAACTACACTGATCGTATAGGATGGGGGGCGAGGCTCTTTGTTTTTTGCCATCATAACTCTCTTCTCATGTCTCTACATTCATAAAGATAACCAGATATACTTCTCATTCTGAAAATAAAATCATCTCAAAATACAGATCCGAAAGTTCAGAACTATATTTGGTTCTTTGTACTTCCCTCATTTCTATGCAGAAAGGTCTTCAATATCATAACGATCATCTTCCTAGAAAGAGGAGAAAAAGGACAAAACTTAATCAGGAATTACATATTAAATTATATACATACTACAGATGTTCGTAACAAAGCACTATAGATACTAATGTTACATGTATTTTAGGTTTGAAACCACCATTAAACACTGCTTATGATTTACCATTATAAATGCAACCGACTTCAAAAATTTAAGAGAAATCTAATAATTAAAATAATTACATACAAAATTTAATGTTTCACAAGCTTTAAACTAAGCCCCTACTGACCAAATGTGCGTTTTGTCTCTATTCCTTCCTAGAAGTTTGAAGAAACAACTAGTCCTTTCCCCTCCCTCAATTTTCCTGCCTTCTGTGACTGGAGGTATGTTTGCTGATAACTAAAGCAACTAGTTGCCTTAACAACTCTCTCACAACTTTCAAAACAACCTGCTTTCTATTACATTATTCCCCAAAACTTGTTCCCTAAAATGGAATTTCATACAAATTTAGCAAGATGTTAGAATTAAATAAAATTTTTCATAAAGTTTCAACATGCTCCTGTGAAATCTATAAAATTTTATGCCCAAAAACAAATTTAAAATATTCACACACTGCAATAGGTAAGTAGAAATGGACAGTTAATACAAATACTGAGAGTATTTAACCAGACCAAAGTTTCTCAAACTATCAAAGGATCAATTTTTATTTCATATCTGCATGTTCAATTTTGCAAAATGCAATAAATACAGTTTTTTAAAAATCCAAGCCCCAATTATTAGATTGAAGAGACATAACATCACTGTCAAATTATTTCTAAATGTTCTTGATTTCTGTATTTATTTCCTCTAAGAGTAGCTACAAAAAGCTCATGGACCACATTTTAAGTAGCAGTAAGATAAAGAATTTGGAGATTATATATTTGAGATAATCTTCTACAAGTATTTGATACACTAGCAACATTAAATAACCTGGAAGAACTACATGCAATTTAATTTAGGTTATTTATGTGGAAGCAATGAATCAGTCTTTTAGAATAATCTTATTTATAGATTCCTCATTCTTTTGAGGTTGAATTAAAAGCAATATATCATTTGGACATCAACATATGTGAAAATTATCTTCAGTTCAAACAAACTAAAGAACATAGAGAAAAAATACAAAGAAAAGAACCACCACTTGCCCCAAATACCTGGCTTCTACACTGACCTCAAATGCAAGTAAACATTTATTCAAAATATACTGTACACTTACTATACTAACAACTAATGAGTAACAGAAATTGTAATTCAGAATTATGACTAACATTTCTGGTAAAATAATATTAAAAAGTAAAATTTCACATTTTTGTATTCATGTACTTTATTCTATTAGCCTCAACTATAAATACTAGCATCTGCCATATGACATTCAAACAAAGCATTTACTAGATTCACTTTCCTAATAAAATAATCCTATGTAGAAAAAGCAACACAAATAGTTAAAGTTATTTCAAATCTATTTGAGTTTATGACAACAGTAAAACCAAAACTGCTTTGATACATGTTTCCCCATCTATAAAATGGGGCTGTGTATCTATATAAATTTAAGAAGTAAATCATTTTTTTAAATGTTAAGCACCTAGCCAACAAAGGGTTTAATAAGCATTAGTTCTGTTTATTAATTTGATTCTTAGAACCAGTGAAACAGTCAAGTATTTTTTCAAAAAAATGATCTGGTCAGACCTGTGACTTAAAAAAATTTATCTGGCAGCAATGTATATGATAACTAGAAGTAAGAGAAATTGGGGCAGTCCCTCCAATCCTATTAACTCTTTTTCATTAATAAACCTTTTAAAAAATCTTAATCTGGTCAAATTGGGTATTTACACCTAGCACAAGTTTAACTTTCTTTACCTAAACTGTGTAAAAGAATATTTGTATTTACTGGTAAGAAAACACAATGAATGAACTGGATAACAACATTATATACAGTGATAAAAAGGCAAAAGGAAATTAGTTTGGGAAAACAACACAATGATTCCATAACTAACAATTAAGAAAAAAATCGAAAACAAGGAATAGAATCCTTTCGTCTTACTAGAAAAGCAGAAAACTGCAGACAATACTCTTTAAAATGTACATCAAAAGAAAACCTACCTAGTGATTACTTTGGGGAATTTTCATGTTCAACAGCATAAACACTGGCACTACATATGGCTCTTTATTAAACAAACATCTATTCTGAAAACTAAGCAATTCAAAGCATGTTAAGACTGTCCCCTGCCTTCCAGTTTAAGAGACACAAAGTTAACAGAAAAGTAACAGTACATTGTCATATGAACCTAAGTATTATAGAAAATTCTCAACTACAAACCTAATCCCTTGCCTTAATAGTCACTATTCATTCCTCATATATGCTTACCCAAACATTAACAGACACGTTTCTGCTCTCCTACAGCATGTACCTCAAAATACTGAGGTAGCTTTCTATCTTAAGCTATAGAGTGTAAGCAGAAATGAAAACACTCTTATCGTAGAATGTATTTTAAAAGTTTCACAGGGACATCTGGGTGGCTCAGTTGGCTGAGCGTCCGACTTCAGCTCAGGTCATGATCTCGCAGTTAACAAGTTCAAGCCTTGTATGAGGCTCACTGCTATCAGCACAGAACCAATTTGGATCCTCTGTCCCCTTCTCTCTGCCCCCCACCTAAGCTCTCCCTCTCAAAAATAAAGAAACATTAAAAATAAAAATTTCAGAAAGAAAAGGGTCTTAAAATTAAAAGAAGATGAGTGAAGGCATGAAGTTACCACCCTTTCACAGGTCAGTGAAAAATGGAAAGCTTCTTATCTAATGAGAAATAAAACTATTATATCAAATTTTATAATGAGGCTTCTACACATCCTAATAAATTTGATAGTGGCAGGCTTTGAATCATGAATATTAAAGTTTAAATTAGAAATAAGGTAGGTCTACATGACATTTATGGTTTTCACACCAAATTCACAGTAAACTATCAATTAGACACTTAAGTAACATCCATGTTCTTCTTTCAAGAAGGCTACCTGCTGGTATTATGAAGTCAGCTGCAGAGCTTTATGTCATGAGTCACCATAGTGATTTTCAAACAATGATGGAAAATTCTTTCACCTACAGGTAGGAAAGAAGAATACCGGGCAAATAGTTGCTCTCTCCCTCCAAATCTCTCATCAAAGCAGTGCACTCTTTATATAATTTAGAAGTTTACTTAACCCAAAAGATTTTTTTTTTAATTTTTTTTTCAAAAGCCCTAATTTAATAAAAATGATTTCTGGGGCACCTGGGTGGTTCAGTCCGTTAAGCTTCTAACTTCAGCTCAGGTCATGATCTCACGGTTCGTGGTTCGTGCTGACAGCTCAGAGTCTGGAGACTGCTTTGGATTCTGTGTCTCCCTGGCTCTCTGCCCCTCCCCCACTCACTCACATTCTCCCCCTCTCTCTCTCTCAAAAAAAATGAATAAATGTTAAAAAATAAAATAAAATATAGTAATAAAAAATGTTTTCAGATTTTAAAAAAGTTTGAGAAACCATAGACTAGGGAAAAAAAAAAAAACTGTCACCGGTCATCCAAAACATTTTGCTATTTGTTTAGGTGAGTATGGTATTACCACCTCATCAGAGAAAGATAGCTTTCATGAGGTTGACTGTAATAGGTTATAAGGGCATTTAATTTCAGACACCCGGATAGTATATACTTACATGAATTACCTTCTGGCCCTCAACATCCAGGTCAAAATTCCTGTCCATTAACCAACTGAGGCAGTTTTTCTTCTGTGCTTAAAAAAAAAAAAAAAAAAAAAAAAAAAAAAAAAAAAAAAAAAAATCCTTTTTTTGTGTGCTCCCAGTAATAAACTAATGGCTAATATATATATATGCAGATTATTCAATTTAATTTGAAAATTCCTTTCAGATATGTGTAATGGTAATATCTGATAATGTTGATTCCTACATCTTTCTGATTTTTGGTGTGACTTTCATATAACTTGTTCTCATTTTCTCATATTTTTACCCATGAAGGAACCAAGACAAAAGTAGAAATGACCTACTCAAAGCAATCCAGTTAAAATGAGTCTCTGGATGACCCATCTTTATTTTCTTAAGCAGGACTACTGCTTTTTATGTTTGCAATGCAGTTTCTTTCTCATTCTGCCTTTAAGTTTACCTTATAACCATTTCAAGGAAATGTTTAGATTAAGTATCTTCACAGAAATTAACGAAAAATGTTTAACTTCAGTGGAGCTACAGTTGATGAGAGAGTTGGAGGGAGAGAGCAACTATTTGCCTAATATTCTTCTTGAGTGGTCCCTACAATTGTCTCAGAAATGAAGCGATCTATACAACTAAGTTTTCAAAGATATTTTACTAAGTCATTCAAACACAACTTGTTCCTCTTAATCGAGTTTTAATAACATGAAGTGGCTTTCCATGAAAAACAAAAACAAAAGCTTTTAAGTTCTACAAGGAATCTAGGAAACTGAAAAAAATAAATTCTTAGTAATTCTGGATTTAAACTAAAACTTTGTTTTCTATCTTCTCACAAAACTTCTGCATTCATAGATAAAAGGTGTGATATCTTAATTATTTTACACTTTTAAGTTATTACACCATGTCAGGAAATTCCTGTTGGTCCTATCTTCATAATATATCTAGAATTTATCACTTTTCATTACATTTAGTGCTCTAATCTGACCCATCCACCATCATATCTGGCCCTAGATTATTCCAAGGCTTCCCAATTAATCTCCGTGCTTCCACTCCTGCTCCCCTTCCCCTATCACTATCAGAGCAGCCAGAGTTTCTTTTAAAACGTAAGTCAGAGCTTCCTATTCTTAGGTCCGAAAACCTCCAGTGGCTCCTAAAAGTCAAATCCTTTCTATGGCATAAGATCTGCCTTCTCCAAACCTATCTTATTCTTTGACCTACTCTCATATATTCTCCCACACTCATTCTGCTCTAGACACAATGAGGAACACTAACACAGTTTCTTAACATGCTAAGCATGCCTC